GGCATTAGGAAACAGATGTGCATGTAATAATATGTTTTCGACTCAGTCTGATTGGATATCACCTGGCCTTTTACCTGCCTGCCATCTAGTACAAAGCTTGTGTGATGTCTAATTACACTCATGTCGGAATAGAGCAAGATCCCGGGTTGCGGGGTCAGCAGCCTAAGCAGGGAAACCCACATCTCCCTCTCCCCAGTGGCACATACCTGGAACACCTCCCCCAGGAGGTGCCCAGGAGGCATCCTTGTCAGATGCCCAAACCACCTCAACCTTTCGATGTGGAGGAGCAGCACCTCTACTCTCCCGGATGGCTGAACTTCTCAACCTATCTATACAGGAGAAGCCAGCCACCCTTTGGAGGAAGCCCATTTCTGCTGCTTGTTTCCATGATCTCGTTCTTTCGGTCACCTCCCACAGCTCGTGACCATAGGTGAGGGTAGGGATGTAGATCAACTGGTAAATTGAGAGCTTCGCTTTTATTCTCAGCTCTCTCTTCAATACGACTGACCGGTGCAGCGTCCGCCTCACTGCAGCCGCAGCACCAAACCGTCTGTCGATCTCCTGCTCCCTTCACCTGTCACTCGTGAACAGGACGCCGAGATACTTGAACTCCTCCACTTGGGGCAGGAACCCGTCCCTGACTCATAGTGGGCACTCCACCCTTTTCTGGCTAAGGACCATGGCCTCAGATTTGGTGGAGCTGATTCCCATTCCCACCGCTTCACACTCGTCTGCGAACCGTTCCAGTGCGTGCTGGAGGTCATCACTTGATGAATCCAACAGAACCACATCATCTACGAAAAGCAGAGATGAGATTCTGACACCACCCAGGTGAAAGCCTTCCGCCACTTGGCTAAATCTATTTAGGACTATTTCATACTGCCATTGTTTTTACTGTACGTTGTTTGTAACATATAGGCATACAGGGAATTGGCATATGGGGATTCTAAATATTGCAATATAGTTTGTATCCAAATATCATGTCACATTTGACCTCTGATCCCACTTTTACCTTTTACATCTGCACTACAAACTTCTTAAAGCAAAGCAAGTGAATATTGAACAAAACAAAAATTCCTTTAAAAGTAAATACTGCCCAGAGAACGAGCTGCCTTGGCACAGCTCTGTGGTCTGAGTGCTTCTTGTTATTATTAGTTCCTGTTTGCAGTGAACCCAATCATTGTCTCTTAAAAAAGGTTTCAAACATGGCTGTTCTTGGGCAGGTGGCTGTATTGGATGTTTAATCATGATGGACAACATTGGGAATGGTATTTTGGGTATAGTAAGTGTGATTATAAAAAGGGTTTTAAGCAAACTTACTTGACCCTGTGAGTTCTGTGTCACAGCTTCAACTAAACAAGTGGTCAAACTGAAGTAAAAAGTCTCTTAATTTCATGTCCCCTTCAGGTCTCTCCTGCCCCTTTGGGGAAGTTTTGTTCAACTGTAATCACATTTAAAGAGCACTTTAGTAGTTTCTCAATATTTGTACTTTTGGAAGTTCTAACAGCAATTTGTTATCTGCCATATTTAAAGAAAGCCCTTCAAGTGGCTTTTCGCTTAAAGCCGCTCCTCAGCTTGACTGGAGTAGAAGCCCACAGAAGGCTTCTCCCACAGAAGCTGTGAGGTGGTTATTGTTCATCACGTTAGGCTGTACTGGAAGCTTATAGTCTTTTAACACTGCTGCCCATCCAAGTGCCAAAGATTGTATTTATCAAAGCTTAAATCTTCTTTGCCTCCATTTCTTTCTTCACTGCACCAATCTGCTTTCATCGCATTGAACTGTTGCGCTTGTTCTCTTGATGCTTTCACTATTTCATTCATTTTTTTATATAGGAGAGAGACCAACAGAGAAATGGGCGAGAGGACTGACATGATGCATAGATCATTTACTGTGTGGACTTTTCAGGCTATAAATAACCAGATGGGTGATCGTCTATGAAAAGAAAAATATACTTTTTGCCTAAACGAAAAAGATCTTCTTCTCATAAAAGTCCTTCATCGTTCTCAGGCTTTAAATGTGATTCAGGAGACCTGCTATGATGTTTCCTCTCGAGAGTGTTCCTGTTGTTGTTAACATTTTATGCAACCTTCAGGGGACATTTTCCTTTACTTTAGATACTTTTAAATGCAGAGCAACACTATAAAAGATGCCCTGACTGCTTCAATGACACAGCATAGGTTGAATGAAAATACTGAGGGATGTGCACCTGAGCAAAATCGTGAAATTCTAATTATGCGCCTTGTCATGTACTAGAAAAATCATTCAAACAGAGTTGCAAATTTAATTAAGGAAACATATGTTTACTGCAAAATATTGGAGCACTAACCCAACTACTTGTTTCCGATGCTTTATGATGTCTACAAGATGAAGTATTGTCTGCTTTAAACCATTTGTGACATGTTGCATGCACAGGAAGATTAGACAAAATACTCTTTGTTTTGCAAATGGATGCTTTGTCTTCTTTTGTATCTTATAAATCATCTTGTGACTCTGCAGGTTTGTCTTTTGTCACAACTGCAATAAGTCCTCCAGGATTACAGCACTGTACTACTCATCACACAAATTTGCAGTATAATTATGACACAGTTAAAAACATTTGTTGAGAAAAGTTGCTTGAGAAACACCGGATCCCACAACCCCATCACCCAGCTCAGACGAATCTTTCACTAGCCCTTCGCTGCCTTTTATATCTTGTCATCATTTCTGTGAAAGTTTTCTGTCAACTTTTTGTGGAAAATCTGTCGAGTGTCCCTGCAAACAAGAGAAATATCAGCTGTCTTACTGATTTCTTTAAAAATGTCATTATTGTTTTTCTGCTTATCAGGAGCTGCTGCAGGCAACATCCTCCACTCTCTGCCATGTCTGCAAGGAGACTACATGCTGAGGAGAGAGAGAAGAGTGAGCCAGGTTCAGAAACTGGCACTTCAAGAATATCTTAGTAAGTGCAGCGTTTAAAGAGTTGGAATATGCTGTAGTTCTAGATCATTCCCTATAAAATCTGTTTAAACTGGACTAAAGTTCCTTACTGATCCCTCAGAATCAGCTGATTAGAATCAACTCATTTGATTAAGCCACAAAACATTTTGCTTTTATTCTATGTATGAGCATTTTTATGTAGGTGGTTTGAAATTTGAAATTTTGTAAGTTGCCTTTTTTCATTTGTGATCCCTTAGACCTTCTGTACAAGAGGTAGGTAGGTAGCTACATTACATTACATCAAATCAAATCACTTTTATTGTCACATCACATGTGCAGGTACATTGGTACAGCACATGTGAGTGAAATTCTTGAAATTCATATAAGACACGGTTAAAAAAAAATTGCAGTCAAATCTCACAAATTTAAAACAAACAACTTTTTTTCTGTTTCCACAACAGCTGTTTCTGTGTCCAGCTTTTACTTCAGTATCAGATAGTTTCAGTAGCAAAACTGCACCAGTTTAATGTCCGTGGTGTAGAGTAACAGAAAGAACTGGCACATTAGACTGGTACGTTTATCTGTTCTCTGAAAATTCAATACCTAAAACTTCAAAAAGTGATTTTGGGTCAACTTTAAAGTTTCAAAAATGCTCGGTAAAAAGAAGAATACTTAAAAAAATTCCAAATTTCAACCCACGCCCATGCCTGCTGGATTCATTGGATATGCTTAAGTTATTGTTTAAAAAAAATTCTGTTTCTGTGGGGTTTGGGTGAGAGGCACGTTTGTTAGTGGAATGACCCAGAAAGTGAAAACTGTTGACGTGAGTATCAGATACATTACGACAATAGGGCAAGTGGATGCACACTGTTGTAGACTGACACATTTCAGCACCTCTCACTGATTCCTTTGCGCATTTATGAATTGTTAGCTTGCTAATATATGATAATAACAGAGATTAGCCCTAAGCACAACACCGTGAGCTCAGTTTGAGATGTCAGTCAAAAGTTTAAAACCCTCAAGCAGAAAAAAAGGAAGCAACATCTTGCAGAGAAGGGACTGGATTTGGGAATTTTATGGGAATATTTTTAACATCCAAGAAGAAACGTGATGTATCTTATCATTTCGAATACTGCTAGAAAATTTATGTATGTATATGTGTTTATATATATATATGTGTATATGTATGTATGTACACATATATATATATATATATATATATATATGTGTGTGTGTGTGTGTGTGTATATATATATATATACACATATATATATATAAATAAAAAAAATTTTTATTACTCCTGCACAGTTGGCGTGGTGCACCCATAATTTAGTTGTACATGTATGTACAGTGACAATAAAGGGCAATTAGTTTCTATTCAAATTAAATAAGTTGATTGAAGCTAATGAAATCAAAACATGGATGTACTGTAGTTAGTTACTGTGCATATGGGTTTTTTTCTACCTGTAGGCTAGGAAAAAAGAAGTTTAGTTTAACAGGAGCAGTTACTGTTGGCTGATGATATAAATTTGATGTAATGGACCTAAGAGCTGTGGAGTCCACTTAGAGCATCCCAAACTGTCGTCAGTTCTAAGTCTCAGTTCTCTCTAGCCCTCAGCACAGGCTGGTGCATTGAAAGACTCTTGAAATATCATTATTTTACAGACATACATAATGTCCCCTCGGCAGCAAAGATAGTGAAACGCCAGCAGAGTGGAGCCAGATTAAAGGAAGTGGAGTGAAATTCATCAGGCTTGAGAAAAAGCAGTAGGGCTATTCTTTGAAAGGGCCATGAGCAGAGTGTAGAGTCCTGACAGACCACAGGCCTTAATGAAATTCATCGCAATTTATTCTGACTTGGCATTAAATTGGGGAAAAGGCATGTCCGTGTAAGTTGCTAAAAGTTAGTTGTAGTGTGGGAAGTTTTAATGATTATTGTGAAGTCTGTGCGTGTGTGTGTGTGTAATGGCACAATTGTGGGTCTGTCTTTTTCTCTTGATGTGTGTGGAATGAATTTGCAAGCTAATGCATGTGTTTGCCAAGGATTTTGAGGATTTATCTTTCTGTTTTTTGTTTTTCTTAACTGGATCTCTCTGTCTCAACCATAAAACCTCGAAAATTCCAGATACACCCATCTTAACAATCTGTTGTTTAAGACAACTAATCTGAAGTACAATGAGCTTGGATATTGAGCTTTTTGAATAAATGTTTAGTGAGTATTTTCTAATAATAAACATGTATTTTTACAATAATTATGTTTCACACATTTTTAAATAAACCGTTTATAAAGCTCAACTTTGACTAAGTTGTTTTTAGGGAGATAAAAATAGCCGCTTACTATTTTATGTACCCAGTGGAGCTGGGGTAAAATGAGTACATTCCTGTTTTGGAGGAGAATCAATCACCAAACTGCTCGTTATGTAACGTTAAGACTGATGCCAGATTTTTACACCAGTTGTGAGTTTGCCAGCGCGATAAAAACAAAGTCTGAAATGAAAACAGAGTCAAAACCTACCCCTGTTTCTGTGTCTAGAAAAGAAAGGAGCAGCATCGATACCTGTCAGTGACTTGAAGGTCATTCTGAATCTGGCCAGGGAGAATTATCTGAAGAAGGCTGACTCCACTCTGCCCACTGCTGCTGCCTGTCTGACAGACAATCAGCCCTCAAAAAGCTCAGGTATGTACTAAGAAAACAAGACAATATTGTGTTTGGGGGTTTTTTCCACTCTTTGCACAGCTATAGTGTGCTGGTCAAGTTTTCTTATATGCGCACAATTAAACACATACAGTACAATGCACATGCCACTTCTTCTACACCATCCCCTCATGTGAAATTCTCTGTTTGAATCCAGCTTCAGTGATGAATATAGCTTGAGTTTGCTGAGCCGGTGTTAAAACTCGTAGAAGGAACAACACTGATGCTGGTTCAAACATTTACTATAATGGCACGAACTGTTCCTCAGAGATCATCAATATTCACTACATGTGCTTTTATAAGACGACATTTCTCGGAAATAACACGAGCTGATAATTTGCAAATAAAGTGTTAGCAATAAAGCAAATTCTAGCTTGCAGCTACAGCTACGTGCGCACAGCGCTGGTTTTAAATATATAGCTGTGGGGCTAATAGAGCCACATGTGAAGCAGTTTTTAGGTCATAAATGTGGCAATATTATTTTGGAATTATGTTTACTGTCTCTGCACAGCATCTTTTTATTATTAGATTTTATATTTATCCATAATTGTATATTAACTCATTAGGCTAAACATCAATAGAAGACCATCTTTGCAGCAGAACTGCCACTACTTCATTAAAACAGCATGGCCTTCATATTAAAGTGTATTTTCTGAATTTGATATTCTACCATATATTTCACTTTAGTGCGGGTTGGGGAACTCTAGGCCTCAAGGACTGTGTCCTGCAGGTTTTAGATATCACCTGGCTCAACACACCTGAATCAAATGATTAACTCATTACCAGGCCTCTGGAGAACTTCAAGACACGCTAACGATGTAATTTAGCCATTTAAATCAGCTGTGTTGGATCAAGGACACATTTAAAACCTGGACACCGGCCCTTGAGGAGTTCCCCCACCCCTGCTTTAGTGGTCCTGGGCATTGCACAGACATAATCTTGAATTTTGTTAAGTGGAACCAGGAAGGTTCAGAATCACAAGAGATGATATGGTGGTGGTGTAGACAGTCTTAAGTGCAATTCACTCTGTTTTGCTTGTGATCCTTATTTTTTGGGGATAGGAATGTCCTTTCCTTCAATCCATTAGATACGTCTGCTCTGTTTGTGTGTCTACATCGCCTAAAGGAGTGAATGACTTTGTGTGGGTTGTCAAAGTGCTACCAGAAGGCTTAGGTTTATACATACAACACACTTAGGCTATCACTTTGCATGAAACACCCGTATCTCGTCAGAGAACCTGCTGTATCCACATGTATCACATTTCTGTCCGTCTTGATATAACATGCAGTCCTGTCCGCACAGAAAAAAGCTGAGCTGCTTTTATTTTGGATCCTCAGAACTGATCTGTTCCGAGACCCGACTGCCAAGAGTTTAGTGTGTTAACTAGCATCAAATGAAAGTTTACTTATCATATCCAGTCCATTGTGTACTTAGTGACAAAGGGCACTGTAGGTTTAATTATTAATGTTGTAAAAGCTGATGATTTTGGAGAACGCTTATGTTATGTAGTTAGTTCATCTAATATACCCTTTATTAGGTTAATGCAAACATCTAATCAGTGGCAGCAATTCACTGCAGTCATGCACTAAGCAAAACATACAGGTCAAGATAAACTGATGACGTTTAAACTGAGCATCAGAATGAGGGGGAAAGGTGATTTAAGTGACTTTGAAAGCGGTATTAGTTGGTGTCCGATAGGCTGGTCTGAGTATTTCTGAATCGCTGACATGCTCGGATTTTCCAACACAAACATTTGCATCATGTATGTGTAGCTGATAAACTTGCAGTAACTGTCTGGTCTGTGAGGAATGTTTCCAGCACCTTGTTGAATCTATGCCAGGAAGAATTAAAGCATTTCTGAAAGCAAAAGGGAGTCCAACCCCATTCTAGCATCCTAATACCTGATAAAGTGGCTGGTGAGTGTATAAACGCCTGTGTAATGTTACTGATTTGTTTTTTCCTGCAACGCCAACTTTATTCTCTATTAAGAGCAGTGAATGCTCATTCATCAACATTTGAAAGTGATGGATAACGCCTGCTTCTTACTACTGTGTGCTCTCACTTCTGGGTTGAGCAGAGACAAACACTTCTATAGCATCTGATTCCAAGTCTAGCAGCTGACCTCTATTCAAATCTTGCTGGTAAAGTAGGAGAAGAGTGTACCTTTGTGTCCATTATTGTGTGCCATAAAACCACTCTTAAAAATAATCTTAAAACGCCTCCCTAATGATGGATGTTTTCAATTGAATTGATGTAAACAGGATGGCTTGTTGTGTTCGTTTTAGGTTTTCAGATGATTTCTCAGCTGCCGTCTGACTGGCCTGAGAGAAGTGTCCTGCACAATGTGGAAAACTTGCAGAAGAGACGCCAGAAGAGAAGGTATAAGGGATGGGATCTCCGTATATGGCTCACTCTGAACTGTTAAAATGTCTGATCTTCTCATTTTATTATGTTCTGTTGACTGTGCCTTAGATTTGGTCTGTTAGGTCCAGGCTCTAGTGACAGTCTGCTGGGTCCTAAAGATGGCCAGAGAGGCTCTTCTACTTTACTTGATGCCAAAGAACTTCTGAAACACTTCACGTCTGATGGTCTGCCTGCGGGGGAGCTACAGCCGCTGGCCATTAACAGAGGGTGGGATCATTTTTCAGATTTCAAATAGCACCTCACCAGTTTCACTGCACTAAGCTGTTAAATTCATAAATATGAACACACTATAGTTTTTGTTTCTTTGGCAGATTTTCAGATTTACAGCTGAAACACATACACGCACTGTAGCCTGGCATCTGCTCCAGTTATATGTATTTATTCCTGGGATGGATCTACATGACACACACTAAACGAAGCCATAATTAGGATTTGATTATAATCATTAACCTTCTACAGTGAGCTTACAACCCTTGGAGGAAGATTATTGAGCTGAGTTAAAAAATACTGGAGCAGTAAGGAGTTAGTGTTAATAAAGGCTGTCAGACCAAACTCTGTGTGTAGAGAGGCAGACTTGTTCATCTGGTTTAATGAAGACGATATTAAATTGAGAAGCAAGACAAATAACAGTTTATCTCTCTTTTTGTCTTTCTGACTATGACTCGCATTCATGCTCTTTGCTTTTTTTTCCAGTAACAATGCCTTCCAGTTGTCACAAGACCTTTCTCCCAGGAGAGTCAGCAAACTGCCTTTCAGCAAAGCCTCAGCCTCCCATTATCACGGCATAGAGTAAGTTTCTCTAAAGTATATTGACTGTTCAGCTATTTTAAAACTGTGAACGCTTCTTTTTATGAGATTTACTTTTTATAAATAATTTTTTTCTTCGTGTAGGTTCTGTCTGGATAACCAGCGGTCTTTAGATCGAGACCAGGCCTTTGTACGGCTCCAATCTCGTCTGATTCGGTATGAGACCCAAACCACCTGCTCCAAGGAACCGTGCGCCCTCCCCTTTGCCCTCAGCCCCGCTCCCTCACCAGCTGTGATGTCAGAACCAGGAAGCGTGCCTGATGGCGAGACTCTGCAGAACAATGATGTAGCACGACTCAAGCGCAAGTCCTGGGAAGCAGACATTGTTGGAGGCTATCCTCACAAGAGGTATGATGATATATGTCCCTCCTGGTTTGCAGCTACGTGGTGATATTATAAAATTAAGGATGGATGGCGAGGAGCTTTAAAGAGTTTTTATCCATCTGTCTGATTGATCCAGGCTGGCAAAGTCCGAGAGCAGTGACTCCATCTGTTCTCAGAGTAGCAGCAGCAGCGGGACACATCCTGCCATTAGGTCTCTACGACGACAACCAAGCAGGTCGCAGTCCACCTCCTCTGTAAACAGTTCCTCCTCTTCAGCCACAAGACCGACATCAGGTAAAGCGAAAAAAGTGACTCTCGCATGGGAGGGAACACTTGGGACTGTGTTAGGATCAGATGAGTCTGTTAAATTAACATTCAGTGTCGCCTGCTAATCGGAAGGTTGGTGGTTTGATCTCTGGCTTCTCCAACCCGCGTGCTTTTCCCAGTGTTCTTGGCCAAGATCCTGAACCCTGAGTTGCCCCTGATGGAATATGCGTTTAAATATGCTTAGCCATAGGAAAAAAGCACTTGTAGACTAAGACTTATTGGCCCAGCAAACTTACATGGCTGTTTAAACTTTTTTCTGACCTGTGCTTTGGTTACTGTTGGATAATGTTATTGTGGGAATTACACATAGCTGTAAAGGTGGGTTAATGTGGTAGGGCTCTAGCAAATTAATAGAATTAATAGAATCAGTTTATTTACTGTGCTGTATGGTAGCACTTCATCTTTATTATCTATGTGCATACTTGTTTCTTTCATTCACTTTATAGTTTTGTATTTTCTAATTGGTTTTGTTTTTATTTCATTTGATTTTATTGTTCGAAAATGTTAAGTTTTAGTGTAGTTTTTGATAGTTTGTGTTAATTTTAGTTTTTGTAATTATTATTTAAGTTATTATGTTTTATTAGTATGCGAAGGGCATACGTCAGAGACCAAATATAGGAACATCAGTACAGGTGATACAATAAAAACACAGAGGTTCTTAAAAGCAGTTGACTCACAGTGTTGTAGACGTCCAAGGTTTTAATAAACACATCCATCAATGCCTCATCAGGTAAGCTGTAATAAAAGTTTTAGTAAACTAAGAGATACCAAAACTAAGGATATTTCCTGTATATTTTTATTTTCTTTAGGTTCACAAAATCGCTTATTAATTTTAATTTTTTTTTCACAAGTCAAATTTTCTTTGCAGTTAATTAAATAAATTTTTTAACATTTAGTTTAAGTTAACTATATTGGTTCAACAGGTTCCTATACCTGTTGTTCTTTGTTATTGACTTATTTCCTCTATTTTATTTTCACTATATGACTTTTACTGTGTTGACTTTAGTGCCTTATTGTTTAATAATTTCTCTTATTTGCACTTCTTTTCAGGCTTGGCGACTCTCGCTTGTGTTGACAGACCTAAATGTCAACAGCAGAAGACGCATCAAGGACACAGCGAGGACAAACTTGCCAAAGAGTCACGCTCCCAGAAACATAACAGGGTGAGAGGATTTGTGCATCTTATTTTTATTCTTATAAAACAATAAAATATATATTTACTTTTACATTTTTTTAAACAGAATATTTCTTAAAGCATTTGTGCTAATAATGATGACAAAAAAATGATGTAACCCAGACAGAAAATGTAACCATAGACTTGTTTGTGCATTTCAAGTCTGCTGCCAAGTTTTAATGAGCAGAGCTTACCTTAATAAGCTGCAATTTTCCTGTAATATCGACTCATTTAGCAATAAACCCATTTTTTTTACTTGTGCAAAAATCTTAAGTAAATATGCAATTCGCCTAATTGCCACCTGGCCTACACAGATGGTGATAGATAAACACACGACAAACTGGGAGAGTTTTTCTATTACAGAGGAGAACTGTGCAGCAGCTCTAGCCGAGATAAATGTGTAATATTTTCCATGCAATCATTGTGAATGTGTGGGCTGCATCACAATGTTGCGGCAGAACCACTTTAACAACAATACTGTTATCGTATCACCTGCTGCCTACATT